GAGTTATCAGTATAACGCCATAAGTGTACTTCTGGACATCTTGTCTGTAAAGACCATGTATGATGACAAAGCTTTTGAGGCACCTCATAAGAAACCTAATAAAGGTCACCTCTTTTGAGGCAAAAGCAAACTGCAGCTGAGAGACTGTTGAAATAGACACTGAATAAAACATACTAGTCACTTTGCTGATATAATTGTCCATTGGATGAAGTTAGTAATTTTAATAATACTGGGTATTGGATATAGGGGCCCTAATAGACAGGACCACAGCATTAAGGTTGTAGTAATCACCATGAGATGCCATTAATATTTCAGTATGTTTAAGAACAGGCAATATTGGTCTGCATGCAAACGGAGAAGTAGTCAAAATAATTACCCATTTATTAATTAGGTCTTATATAAGTCTTATTTCTTGAAGGCTCCATTTTAATTTACATTGGACCATGTTAATTATTTTATCTGGAGGATCCATAGAGTCCCATTTTATCAAGCCAATTTGTAAGTACCAAAGATTTAATTTAATTTTAATTTATTACTCATTGCACAAAAGTATCTATGCTCACTATAGGATGTTTTAGGGTAATATGCTCTATTACTATGGGACATTTTGATGAGGCTATAGCTAAAATGATGCATGACTATTTTATTCACTATATTATATTTAGTTGCTTTCAGAAGATTATAGGAAGTACTGTGTTTAAATTTACTGAGATCCCCAGGAATAACTCTTTTGAACACCAGCAATGATTAAGTCCATGAAGCTTTGCCAATTGATACAGCTCACCAGATGTTAAAATTAACTCAAATCTATGCTGTAGGTATATCAAAAAGAAAAAAAAATTCCATGTGATTCCACGTGAATTTCAGTACTGACATTTCTACTTTTCTTTTCTAATTACTACTTTTTATTTATATTTTCTATTTCTTTTCTATTTCTACCAAAAGAAGAACTGTTGGAATTTTGATAGGTATTATACTGAATCCATAGATTGATTTGGAGAATATTACCATATTTTTATTTATTTATTATTTATTTTTTTGAGACAGAGTCTCACTATGTCACCCTTGGTAGATTGTTGTGACATCACAGCTCACAGCAACCTCAAACTCTTGGGATTAAGCAATTATCTTGCCTCAGCCTCCCCATTAACTGGGACTACAGGCACCCACCACAACATCTGGCTATTTTTTATTGCAGTTGTCATTGTTGTTTTGCTGGCCTGGGCCAGTTTCAAACCCTACAGCCTTGGTGTATGTGGCTGACGCTGTAACCACTGTGCACAGGCGCTGAGCCAGAATATTGCCATTTTAGTGGCATTAAGTCTCCTAGTTCATGAATATGGGATGTTTTCCCTTTTATTTAGAGTCTTTTAAATATCTTCCAGTAATTTTTCATAGTTTTCAGCATTTAAGTCTTACCCCTTAAATAAATTTATCCTAAGTACTTTATCTTTTGATGCTATTGTAAATGGAAATGCCTTTTTATTTCCTTTCTGGATTGTTCATTTCTGGTTTATAGAAACACAACTTTTTTTATTTTTAAACATTTCATACAATTCAAATCAGCATGTCTGGTTCATTTCAGCTCATGCACTGACAACCCAGGGGGCAGAGACAGTTTCAGTTGTTTCTCTGCCTTCTCTCTGTCTATGATGATCAAAGTATAAAGGTATCTGGTGCATTGAACTTTAAACTTCGCATTATCCTTATTTTTCTTGATCATGACAGACTTGACATCCTTTTGTCTGGCCATGAGTAGAAAGTCCTTGATTTCCTCAATTTTCCAAGGCAAGGCAACCGGGTGTGCTGGGGAAGGGACACAGACCTGCACCCTTCTCCCCTAAGACCGGAGAGACATTCCCACAACTTTTTTTTTTTTTGTATTTATGTTGCATCTTGCAATTTTCCTGAATTTGCAATTACTTATTTGTCTTTCTACTTGTTACAAGTCTGTTCAGATCTTCTTTTTTATTTATTGTTTTATACATTTATCTTTTAAGTTATATAGGGATAAAAGGATTTATAAACCAAAATTACAATAACAGCGATATCTCTAGTTACTTATGTTTTTCATTTCAATCTGAAAGATTCCCTTTATCACTTTATGATAGTGCTTATCTCAGATTTCCTTTATCTGAAATGTCCTGATTTCTTCTTAATTTTTTTATTATTGGAGACACCTTGCATTTTTCTCATTTTTAAAGGGCAATTTTGCCAGATAGACAATTCTTGGTTGCCAGGTTTTCTTTTTCTTTTATCACATTAAATATGATATTCTGCCTTCTGTTCTCCAAAGTTTCTGCTAAGAAATTGACCGTTACTTTTATTGAGGATTTCTTGTACCATGTACATGATAAGTTGCCTCTCTCTTGCAACTTTCGAGTTTCTTTCATCGTCTTTGGCTTTTGGCAGCTTGATTCGAATGTTCAAGTCTATATCTCTTTGCTGGATTTCTGGCCTCCAAAGTGTGAGAGAATAAACTTCTGTGTTTTCCTAAATCCACCACGTTTGTGGTAATTTGTTACAGCAGTGTCAGGAAACTTAATACATTGCTAGCATTAACATATAAAGATACAACTAAATTTGCATATTGATCCTGTGTTCTGCAACATTCATGAACTCATTTTATTAGCTATAGTGGCTTTTTTACACTATGTAGGATTTTCTACATAGACAATTATATTTTCTGTGAATAAAGATTGTATTATTTCTTACCTTGCAATCTATAATGCTTTTATTTCTTTTTCTTATTATATTTGCTAGAATCTCTAATACAACGTTGAAATAAATTTGTGCAAGTGTCTGTTATTCCCTTGTTTCTCATGTTAAAGGGAAAGCATTTAGTCTTTATGAACACATCATTATGTATATTTTTTATAGATGCATTTTATCAGGTTGATATATTTTATTTATAATTTGTTTCTAAGTATTTTAATTAGTAATGAACTGTGGAATTTTGGAAAATGTTTTTTTCAATTTTCATTGAAATAATCCTATGATTGGTTTTTTTCTTATGTTAATGTAGTAAATTACAATTTTTGCCAAATATTAACACTGACTCCCTGTAATAAAAATTACTTTGTCATGGTGTATTGTATTTTTTATATATCATCAGACTCAACTTCACTAAAGTTTTGGTAAGAAATTTTGCATATATGTTCATGAGGGAGAATGGTTCATAGTTATATTTCATTGTAATATAATTATCTGATTTAGCTGACTGGATAATTCTAGCTTCATAGGGTAAGTTGGAAAGTATTTCTTTCTCTTTAATTTTCTGGAAGAGGGCTTATTTCCTGAATACACTTAGACCGATACAATGTTTTCCCCCATTAAAGTTCGTGTTGGCAACCCGGAGTAAAATGTCTGGCAGAAAATAAGCCTCTCTGCTCATCCGTTCTCTTGCCCTTTCAATTTTAGCTTTTCTCTAGGTAAACTTCTGTCTTGATTCACTCATGCCTTGTGTCTCAAGTGCCTACAAGAGGAAGGAGGGCTTTGAAATTACTTAGGCATCTGATTCATGATGTCTGGGGTTAGTGACGTTTTTACCTGCCTATCCACTTTCCTTCCTTTGGGTTCATAAGTGCAATTGCAATGTTAAACTCTAGAGCACAGGGGGGTAAACTTTTTCTGTTAGGATCAGATTTTTAAAAATTAGTTTTTACAAGCAAGCCACAGTCTCTTTCACAGCTATCCAACTCTTGTTGCTATAGTGCAAAAATAGCCATGACAATATGTAAATGAATAAGCATGTCTATGTTCCAATAAAACTTTGTGGACACCAAAATTTGAATTTCACATATTTTTGAATCATAAAATATTTTTGTGTTTTTCAGCCACTAAAAAATATAAAAATCATTCTTAGTTATAGGCCAAAAAATAGGCAGTGGGCCAGATTCGGGCCTCTGTAGGGCTATTTGCAACCCATTTTAGAGTCCTGACTTTTGAGTACTTCCACAAGACTGCTTTCATACATAAAATGTGTGCATTTCATCTGATTAGCACAAACTGAGGTAGCATTTGTATACGAACTTCTTAACCCCAATAGCCCTCCTGTGGACTTCTCATAAAGATACTCACATTTGGGTATTCACTAATTCACTGGTCAGTCTCCTGATGTCCAACTCAGTATAGGTTAAGAAAGTTCTGTACATTCATTGGTTTTAGGGGGATGTGGTCTGACATGAGGTGGGAACTTTTCAGATTGATAGTGAGTTGTGTTCTCTCACACATCTTGAATAGTCTGAACTGGGGAGGTTTCCAGGAAGAGAATTACCCCTAAGGAAAGAACAAGACAGAGAAGGTCTTTCCTTAAAGCTAAACTGGGAGAGGGGATTCATCCACTGGAAGTTCAAGAGAAATCAGTAGGGATTCTCACCTTGAGGATTCTTGAACATATAGAGTGGGGATGGAGAGTGGCAAAAGTATAGGGAGCAATGGCAGATAGAGCAATAGCCAGGTGACAGGATGGAATGGAGCACAGTGGCAGAGGAATTGAAATGCCTACTCCTTAGCCCACTAGACCTGTGAGTATAAGAAAGATCTTGCCTTGGAAACTTGCTCTAATAATTGAGGGGAGTATTTAAGTGTGGGGTCATACATGAAAATGGGAAGAACTAGGAAGAAGCTCACAAATTTATTACCTCATCAGATCCACACAGTAGTCCTGAAAGTTGATTATTATTTTCACCTTACTAATAAATATAATGTCTCTAAAGAGATGTGTCTCTTCTCGTTATATTTCTAAATGAGAAATCCCAAAGGTAAGCTAAAATTGAGATTCTGTCACAAATGTTTATTAAGTGCTCACATTTCTTTTATAAAGTGATTATATGTAAGTTAATGTGTTCAGTTTTGAAAAGGAAATATAGATAAGCAGAAAGAAAATCAAACACTAATTCTACCACAAAGAGATAAACACTATTTACTTCATATAGATGAAGTAAATATACAATTGTATATTGTAAATATACAATTTGAAGTAAAAAGGATACAGAGAATGCTTTTTTAAACTGCTTTATTAATTTCACAATATATAATGAGCATCTTTCCATGCAATAGGCAAAACTCCCTTGCTGACAGAAACTTACAAACTGGGTCAAAAACACAACATTCAATCAGAAGCTGGTAATAGGAGACCCACATGAAACAAGTAACATCAAAAGGTTTACCACAAACGTACATCACAAATATGTAAGTTTAGGAAGCAGGGGTCTCCCTATTAACTTCAGGGAAAACATCAGGATTTAGGGCATAAGGCAAAACTCATCACGATGGTCATGGTGAGGGGGGTCGGTGCTAACTGCCCGCAGACTATGACTCAATTGCTTTTCCCTCAGCTTTTCCATCAGCTGTCTCATCTCCTCTCCAATCCTTTCCATATTCTCTTCTCTCATCCTTGCCTGTGGCTCTCCAAGCCTGTGCATTACCTCCCATCTATACTGCAGGATGGGCTGCCTAACGCGGAATCGCCTACGATTTCCTCTAGGAACAGAGTATTCCAAAGGGTGGGCCAAGGGCTCCCCTTTATTAGCATCTTGCTCCTTTTCAGCCTTCTCTTCATTTTCCTGGTTGGTATTATCCATGTTGAGATCTTTTACCACTTGTTCCTCTTTGGACTCCATTACTCCTAGGAGGAGGGGGGAGATGGGGGTGGGGGAAGAAAAAGTACAGATCAGCACCGAGGACAGAGGCCCTACTACGCACCTTTCAAAATTTGAGTCCTGGATTTCAAAGGCCTTTTTAGAATTTCATTTTCCCCACCTGAGAGGCCCCGCGGCGCCCTCTAGGGAGCCCCCAGTCCGAGCCCCTCCCTCCCGCAAAGCCCACCATTTTCCCTGCAGAAAATTCCAGGCCTCTTGCAGGCACCAAAATGGAGGACAAAGATGACAGAGAGGGGATGTAATGGGGGTGCTGGGAGAAAGGGGTAGGGGTCTCACAGTGGGCTTTTGGCATATTCCAACCCCGTCCCTCCACTCTCCCCCGCACCCACCTGGGCCTATCCTCGCAGTCTCCTCCTCCTCCGGATTCTCTCTGCGAGGTGCGCTGCTGCGACACTTAGCCCCAGAGACCTGCGGACTGCAAGGATAGGGGAGGGGGCTGCTGCAGCCGAGATCTCCGGGGCCCTTCCCCACCCCGGGTCCTCTTAGCCGCCCCCGCCTCTTGTCTCCCGCCCCAAATCACCAGATCTCCGCGCTGACCACCATTTTCTGCATCAAGAAGGACGGGGGGGCGGGGCAGGGGTGTTGGAAAAGCTTGCGCCACTGGCGAGGGCAGGTGTTTCCAAAGGGTCAAAGCCTCTGGACCACCTGCTTCCGCGGGGATGTGTACCCCTTGGAACACAAAAGGTTTGCCATCTTCTCAGGGACTGCAGCAGGGGGGTGCGGTGGGGGTGGCAGTCACCAACCGGCTGCGTCAGACCCCCGGGGATGGGGGCTGCAAGCTGGGGCTGCTCTCTCAAGCCAAGTCTAGGGACCCCCTGTGGGGCCCTTACCTGCTGTCCCGCAGCCTCTTACTTTCTGGGTCGCCCCTGGCCTGCCGCCCTCAGGGCCACCAGGAGCAGGTACGTCCTCCGAGAAGGGAGCTAGCGACGACAGAAGTGTCGCCAGAGAGAGGCGCGCAAGTCAGAGCTGGCCAGTCACGTGAGGCAGTCATCGATGCCAGCAGCCCCGCCCCCAGCCCTTGGCCCATCCTGCCGGCTTGAGATAGGAGGGGCTTGTCGGCCAGGCCCGCCCCACATCCTCACCCCAAGTCCCTCTGAACATCTTTGGCCTTAACCCTGTCACTCTATCTTGTTTGTATGTTCCTGGGCCTTGCTCTGCCTGTGCTGGAAGGGCAGGATCCTCTCAGGGAGGCATTGACCACTCCCACTTCTCTGGGGACTTGCCTGTCTGTCTCCTCTAGTCCCAGGATGCATCTTCTTCAGCCTGCAGTCTCTGCTTCCAATATTCTTCATTTTCTCTCCCTCAAAATTTTTAGGAATCTGAGGGAGTGGATTTTTCTCATTCTTAATGCCTTTCTTTATATATATATATATATATATGCATATATATATATATATAATACAAAAACCAATATACTTCTTTTAAAAAAAAAGTTTTATTTGAAAACCCGGATTAAAGTTGGGGGAAAAAATTCCAACAACCTGTCTGTTCTGCTAAGTCATTATACAAATATAGATTCTACAGGCAGCTCCTTTTTTAGAACTGGAAAGGACAGGGCAGCTGATGGCTCCCCTGGTAAGGCCCCCTAGACACATGAGGCCCTTTCATGAGGTAAGCCAATGTGTATGTAGTACAACAGAGCCTTTTTAGATTTTCAGAACTAAAAACACAAAAATAGAAATAAAACCTACTTCATGTATTTCTGATTGAAATAGTAATAAATATGTATTTGCAGATAGAATAATTAGGTATTTAGAAAATCCAATGCAATCTACAATAAACACATTATAGGAGTAACAATTAAATTCAGGAAGATTGTCATTACAAAATAAATATACAAAACACAATTGTAGGGCAGCACCTGTGGCTCAGTGAGTAGGGTGCTGGCCCCATATACCAAGGGTGGCGAGTTTGAATCTGATCCCCGCCAAACTGCTGCAATAAATAGCCAGGCGCCTGTAGTCCCAGCTACTCGGGAGGCTGAGGCAAGAGAATTGCCTAAGCCCAAGGGTTTGTGGTTGCAGTGAGCTGTGATGCCATAGCACTCTACCAAGTGCGACAAACTGAGACTCTGTCTCTAAAAAAATAATAAGTAAAATAAAAATATTTAAAAAAACCTCAATTGTACTCCTACATGTTACTAATGAACAATTGAAAATTGAAATGTAAAAATATGTCATTTATGGTAGTTTACACAAACACAAAATACTTAGGAATAAATTTCAAAAGCATGTAGAAAACCTGTACACTAAAAATTTCAAAACGCTGTTGAAGGAAACTAAAGACTAAAATAAAAGAAAAGATACCGTGGCCTTGGACCAGAAGATTCTAAACTGTCAGAGTATCACATCTCTTCAAATTGATCTACAAGTTAATTCAGTGCAATCAAAATCAAAACACTAGTAGACATCTTTGTATAAATTGAAAGATTTATCCCCTAATTAATATTGAAATTCAAAGGACTTAGGATAAACAATTTTTTAAAATATCATCAGTCTAGAGAATTACATTATATAATTTCAAGATTTAAGATGTAGTAATAACAGTAGTGTAATAGTGGAGTAAACATATAGATCAATGGAACAGAATAGAGAGTCCGGAAGTAGATCCATACATATATTGCTAATTCGTCTTTGACAAAGATGTTAAGGTAATTCAATGGGGAAAGTATAGTCTTTTAGCATATGGTATAGAAACAACTGGAAATTCTTATAGAATAAAAGGAACTTAGAGGGTCAGGCATGGCAACTACTGCAGAGTGGGTCTGGATGTCCTAGCAACCTGACAGGAGGAGCCAGTTGGAGATGATACCGCAGTGCAGACAAGGGAAGAAGCAAAAGATCCTGCCTAAGCTGACATTACTGAACTCTGCTGGGGCATGTTCTCCAAAATGGCCACTTATCTAACTGGAGAACTGATGGCCACCGGTGAAGACTGTAAGCTCCTGGAAAACATGAAAAACCTAACCAACTTAAAGTATCATGAAATGAAAGATGTTGCTATAAACATTAGTAGACACTTAAAGGCCCTAAACCAAGAGTATGCTGGACTTCAGCCCCTTATTGAGATCAGATCAATGTCATAGATGAGCAGGTAGCAGCTCTTGACAGGCAGCTTACAAGTTGGATGCATATTCAAAAAAACTGGAAGGCAAGTAGAAGAAGCTGGAGAAATTATGAAAAGCATGTTTCCTTGAGAAAGTCTTTTTTAATTTGGACGAATGTTTCATAAGACATGATTCCTAAGACTGATGAGTTGTCCAGACTTCACAAAAGCAAACTCTGCTGGTCATCCGAGGAACATCTCAATGTTGGAGTAAACTGGAAGATTGTGGCTACTCCTGAACCTCCTTTGTTGCAGTATCTCTCGGAAACTCAAACTTAAATGTCCTTACCTTTTACGTGAATGCTTCATTAACCATCAGGACAGAGATGTTCTCAAAGTTCAGGATACAACTGGGCTGCCAGTAGACTCAAATTAGAGGATATATTTTCTCTGGTAGTGCTTGATTGTTGTATTATTTTCCTGTGGCTTGTTCTTGAATTACTGTGAAAAAAAAATTTTTTTTTAATCTGTGATGCTAGTGTATTGTTAACAAGATTCTAAATTAAAAAAGAAAACAAACTTGTCCTTTGCAGCTTATCACCTTGTGAATGTCAGTAATTTACTTTTTCATGACATTGCAAATAACAGAAAATCTTAAAATAATTCCAGGCCAAGCCTTCTAGACTGAGCAGAAGTAGTGAAAGGAGTGTTTTGATAGCTTGTTATAGGGGGTGGGCCCACTCTTATCTCCTTTCTATGTGAGTCAGATGTGTGGGGTTGGATGATATCCTGACATGTGCTCCTTTTTGGAAATGTGATAAAGACAAAGACAGGATGTATATGTGTGTGTTTGTGTTGAGTAAAGAGGTGAGGGCTGCTCATAAAATAAAGCATTTTATGAAATGTTTAAAAAAAGAACCTTGTCTTTTACTTTAATTTTGAATTAATTCAAAATGTGTCATAAGCCTAAGTATAAAAGGCCAAATTATAAAACTTCTACAGTAAAACATAGAGAAAACTTTATAATCTTTGTGCAGATAAAGATGCTTTAGGTGCTTGCTTTGGCAGCACATATACTAAAATTGGAATGATACAGAGAAAGATTAGCATGCCCCCTGCGCAAGGATGACACGCAAATTCATGAAGTGTTCCATATTTTTTTTTTAAATGATGCTTTAGATAGGACACAAAAAGAACAGATTGCAAAAGAAAAAATGAGAAGTTGGACTTATCAAAATTAAAAACTTCTACCTTTAAAAGACATGGTTAAGAAAATGAAGTGGGAAGCTGGAAGAAAATATTAACAATATGTGTACCTGACAAGGGGTTTGGATTCAGAACATATATAAAGAACTCTGAAAACTCAACAGAAGAAGGCAAAAAAAAAAAAAAAAGGAACAAAAATTGATAAAAAGATTTGATTAAACATTTCACAAAAGGACGTGTGAAAATTACCAAAAACTCATGGAAATATGCTAAACCAGATTATTCATTAAGTAAATAAAAAATAGAACCAGAATGAAATACTACTGCACCTCTATTAGAGTTGCTAAAGTTAAAAAATCTGACAATCTCAAGTACTTTTGAAGATACTAAATAACTAAAAGTCTCCTTCATTGCTGAAGGACTTTTTCGCTGTTTTTTGAAATCTCAGAAATTTCACTCTTAGGAATTTTCCCAGAAGAATTCAAAACATATTTTCTCAAAAATATTTGTACTGTAATGGTCATAGCAATTTCATTTATGATAGCTCCAAAGTGAATAAAACCCAAATGTCCATCAACAAGTGAATGGATAAACAAATTGTGATGTGCTCATACATTTGAACATAAAAAAAGGATTGTAACTACTGATACAAACAATAACATAAGTGAATTTCAAAAAAATTATTTTAAAATGCTTAGGATAAGATACCAGCTACAAAAGAGTGTTATGCATGATTGCATTTATATAAATTCTAGCATAGGAAAAAGTAATATATGTTGATATAAACTGGATCAAATCACTGTTTGCCTAGTTTGAAATTTAGAGTTCTTTTTTTTACTGCAAAGAGGCTTAATGAACTCTCTCAGCTAAGTGAAAATATTTGTATCTTGATAGGTTAGTAACTCCACTGGTGAATACATTTGTTGAAATCAAATGAACTAAACAGTTCAAAGGTGTGTATCTTATTGTATGTAAATTATACCCCACTAAAGTTGGTTAGGAATCAAATATCTAGGAATAACTTTAATTAAATACTTGTAAGACTTGTACATTGAAAGTCTATATAAAATAGTGTTAAGAAATATTAAAAGGCCAGGTGTGATGGCTCACACCTGTAATCCTGACACTCTGGGAGGCCGAGGCTGGTGGATGGCCTGAGCTCATGGGTTCAAGACCAGCCTAAGCAAAAGTGAAACCCCCATCTCTGAAATAACATAGGTGGGTGTTGTGGCAGGCACCTGTAGTTCCAGCTACCTAGGAGGCTGAGGCAAGAGAATCACTTGAGCCAAAGAGTTTGAGGTTTCTGTGAGCTATAACACCATGGCAATCTACTGAGGCTGACAAAGTGAGACTATCTCCAAAAAA